TTTTTTTTTAATTTGCTTTGTATGCTAGAGCAGGGATCTGCAAACTATGGCATGTGGGACAAATCGGCCCGCTGCCTGTTTTTGTAAATAAAGTTTTATTGGAACACAGCCCACCCATTGTTTACTTATCAGTGTCTAGGACTGCTTTTGCACAACAGTGGCAGAGTTTGAGTAATGTCAACAAAGGGTGTATGGTCTGCAAAGCCTAAAATACTTCTTGTCTGGCCATTTACATTTAAAGCTTGTTGACCCCTGTGCTAGGGAATAATCTAAGACTATTTTTTTAAATGCTAGAAGAACTGCAGTCTGGTTTGCCAACTGCCAGTTAGTTATTACTGACAAGATTTTGTTTTTAGTTTGACATTTAAATTTTTTAAAATTTCTACCAGAAAGATAAAATTGGATATGTTGGGTAAAGGGAAGAGCATAAAAGGATTTCAAATATCCAGATTTTCTCTCTCAAATCTTCATTTGCAGACAATATAGACATTTAAACATTTCATCTGTAGGCATTTGCCTTTGAATGTCAAAAAAAAAAACTGCTGAAATTTGATGATGATAATTATCAACTCTTGAAAGAATTACCCAAACGAAAATATGCGAGAGTTGAGTATGTTGTTGCTAATAAAATTGTACTGGGTCTTTTAGGAAAACATTTTCTCCTGACCCTTTAAAAACATGTGCCAGGAACTCATTAGAACATTAGAACCCTTTAAAAACATGTGCCAGGAACTCATTTGGGTGTGTGGGATGACACACCCAAAATACTGAGCTAGAGTTTACGAAGCCGCCTCCTTCCCCATCATTTTTTCCTGTGAGGCTTAGTTTATTTTCTTCTGAGTGCCAGTTCACATTTCTCTGGTTTCTCATCACGGAATAAATGACATTCACCATCCCTTGTGCTGCTTCACCCACACCCCAGCCCTCAGATGCACAGGAGACCTGGAAGCATTTCTCTGCCCAGCAATTTCATTCTATGGCCTGAAAATGAACTATTTTGCAATGCTTCCGACCTTGTCATATGAGGAAGCTCCCTCCACCCGGCGGAAATAACAGTGTAAACAACTCACACCATAGCTGCTAACACGAACACATAGAGCGTTCCCATCAGTCTCGCAGAGGGCCCAGGGCAGCGGGGAGAGGGAGGAGTCTGAGTGTGTTCATCTTCCTGAGTTGAGACTTGCCCACTGGCTGCCTCCAGTGTATTTTCTTCCAGCGAAAGTTTGCAGAGAGAGAACTTAGAGTAAACGACACTCTGAGGAAAAACACAATAGCAACACATTGTTAACAAGTGTCTGCTTTTGTTATGCCATTTCATAACTGTATTAGTAGGTGTGCAATTTCATTGGATATTTTTTTTTTCAATTGTCTTTTGTACCTATGATTGAAAACGGTAGTTGGTCTATGACTTTTGAGGAGGTAAGTTATTTATCTGTGTATGTCTGTGATACCGGCGTCTGTCTGTCTGAAAAATGCAGTATCCTCCTCCCAAAAGTTACTCACCAAACTCTGCCGGCCATGCAGCTCCTATGCCCCAGGGGGGAGGGAACGGACGAGGAGCGTTGTTGTCTGCTTTTTGTTGGAATGGTGTCAGTTGTGTGAGATGGAGGATGTGCCCAACAGGGCAGTGTGAGTTTCCAGGGTTATGGAAGCAGGGTCTCCTGCTGTCTTTGCGGAGAGGGCGGGAAGCCAGCCACCTGCTATGTTGACAGGCTCCGAGCCGTGGGGCAGATCTGCTTGTGCAAACCGGGGCACGCCGCTGCCTCTGCACAGACAGGCTGACGGGCTGACTCCCAGGTGCTCTCGGGCGGGCAGCCCTTGCTGACCTTTCAGAAGGAACGAGGCCCATCCAGATGGAACTTTCTTCTCTGATCTAGTATAAAGGGGAGCTTTTTCTTGCAAAGAAAATACAGCCCAGTAAGACACCTGACTTGAACCCTTGGCAAGTGTAGGCAGGTTCGTTGGCAGGAACCCCCGCCTCGGTGGGTAGCGGTGCCTCGCTGGCCCGCTCAGGGATACGGAGGACTGCTGAGGACACCTCCCGCCCCAGGTTCAGACTTTGGAGGACGATACTGCATTTTCGGCCCCACAGCTTGCTTGCCCACATGTCTGTGAGTGCAGAGCAGGAGTCACACCCCACTGCACTGCTTGCTGTGCACACACCCAACCGAAGCTTCTTGCTAAAGCCAAGCCGGTAGGCGCGCCCCCGAGGCCATTTTGCTTTTTAGGGATGCTTAGACACTCATGGTTTCTCCCAAATCTTCCCCTGTCCCCCACTCCCCCCTTGGCCGTGTGTCCATAGGGAAGGGTTCCAGTTGCAACAGGCATGGTGATGGCACGTTTCTAGTCAGCACTGAGCTGAGCCCCCGGCTCTCCCTTAATTAACATCACCCACCGGGCGTTGATCTCCCATCAGGAGAGAAGTAGCCACCGGGTGCATCCTTAAAGTACTTGCAACGAAGTGCTTTTCCATGTCTGACTTTGCCTGCAGTTTACCTTAACTCCCTGGTATGTCACTGTCACCTGAAAAACCGGGAGCTGCAACATTGTCCCTTGGGCGAAACAACTGTAAAGTCAGTAAGAGTTGAGGGGACTCTGCACCTTGGAGTCCTGCAGGTACAATTTCAGGAGGACTCGGACACTGACTCAGGAGCAGGGACTGGAGTCCTGTCACCAGGAGCTCTCGGGAAGGGACTCAGAGAGGGAGAACACCCACTTCCCTGCTGAGCAGCCCACTCTGCACTGTGTCCTGACAAAATGGTGCTGGGTGATGCTGCTTGTTCCTGGCAAGGAGGAAATGGATTGGAAAAGTTTCTGGAACACTTTTTATTATTATTATTATTCTAAGTTTTCAACAAGTAGGCAAGTTGTTTCCTCAAAGAGGAGGAATATTTAGATGTATTGCGTAGAAGACTAACTCTCGGGCCCCCGCTAGAATTTGGATTGCTTCAGCAAAGATTGAAAGATTTCTCTATAGAGGCCCTGGCTGTTTATCTGCTATATTTTTGTGCCTACTTTGATGATATTTCTGAGGGAGGTTAGGACTTCTGTAGATCGAGGGGACAGACAGAATTTGATGAGTGCAATGTGCCCCTACAAATATGTACACGGTCTTTTCAGGAATATTTTGGGAAAGGATTTCTGGCAGGGCCACAGTTTTAAGGGGTTACGTAGTATCTTGGTCAAAACCGAAGATCCAGTCTGGTTTCGGGTAGAATATGAGCTTCTCACAGGAGTAAACTTTAAAAAAATTCTCATTTTGGCATTTTATCCTTTTCAGTGGAATTGAAATTCCGAATGGCTTTTAGTTTTTTTAGATAACATTTTAAACACATGTATTCTGTATTCATTGTTGAAAACTTAGAAACATTTTTAAAGTACAAAGACAACAATGAAAATAAGCCAGTACCTGCAATTAATGTTATTTATGTTATGAAAATGAGACTTTCTAGTTCCTTGTCTTTTTTTTTCTATGAGGTGGCTTAAGCATTTCTTTGATCATATTTTTCACTTATATTTTAACACTGCATGGAATTCTATCATGAATTTATTTAAAAGGATTTAAGAGATTTGGGACTGTTTTTATCTTCTTCAGTAGATTTCTTTTTCAAAAAATGTTTTGGCATTCCCCAAGTATCCCAGTCTTCCTTTTCCAAAAGAGGAGATAGGAATAGACTGTTGGCCGGTTCTAGTCAAAGCACAGGTTATCCTTTAGCTTCTCTGCTGGCCCTGTTGGGGGGTCCTCCGCTCCATGAAAGTCTTAGGCTCTGCCCTTACCGTCAGTCTCCTAGCCCTTCTTTAAAAAACCAAAAGAAAAAAAAGAAATAGGGCTTCCTTTTTTCCATATAACCAACCCTAGGTTGTTCTATAGAAGATAAATGTCCTTTTGCCCCATGTTACACGATGATACACTCTCTTCCAGGGCATAGATTTGTCTTCTGGTTGTGCAGCACTCCTTTGTCTGAGTTTCTGCCACCCTTGCAGAAAACCCTATTAGGAGTATAAATCTAAAAAACAGGAAGGTCTCATCACATTGAAGTCTTTCCTGTCAGCTCTCTTTGAATCTCCCATAACTGTTAACAGTAGCAAAAAAAAAAAAAAAGTACTTTTGATACTTTGGATTGGAAGACAGTAAATTGCTACTCTGAAAATAGATGTGCATGTACACAGTTCATAATGTTTAGTTCAGGGGACACCTTTCTTCCTAAAAATGTAACTTGGTTCTTTCATCATAGGACTTTGTTTCAGATTTTTCCTGGGAGTTCAAGAGGAAAAAAACAGCTCAGTAATTTGTTTTACCCAGAATCTTTTGAAGTTTTAAAGTTGAGAAATTTTAAAAGCCCTCCAACAAACATCTAGAGCCATTGTCATAAAGACTGTAGCTCATACTAATAATAAAAATTGGTGTTCGGAAAAGTATTTCTACCCCAAGGATGAACGTGTCAGTTGATGGCAAAAGTCCTGAACCCCTGTATCCTGGTTCTTGATTTAGTGCTCGTAATTAAATATATTCAATGAATGTGCACTCTGATACTGGAAAAACAATGTGAAGAGATGTCTAGTGGTTTTCCCCTATTTCACACCTTCTGTGTTATGCAGTTTCCCTTGAGGTTAAGGGTGGGATTACTGTGCATGTTTCAAACAGAGGATGGCCTGTGTCTGGGCTCTGGGTCTACATGAAACGTCACAGGATTGGGGAGATGTTGGAAATTTTGCCTTTTGTGGCACTTTTTTAATAATGCAGCCTTTTACCATGCAGCCTGTCAGGGACAGTTGTAAGGTTCACCGGGTAGAGAGCGGCATCTGCACTGCTGGCTTAACTCACTGTTGTTTCCCGGACAGCAGTCCTGCCTTCCTGTGCCCCTTGCGCCTCCTCCTTTTTACACCTTCAGAAGTTCACTTTGTTGTCGCTGCTTGTTTTTGCTCACCGGTCCCCGTTCGTGTCTGCTAGTGCGTCTCGGCACTAATGCCGCCCTCCGGCTATTGCTCTTTTCCTGCAGAGGGAGAACCGGAGACTGCAGGAGGCCAGCATGAGGCTGGAACAGGAGAACGATGACCTCGCCCATGAGCTAGTAACCAGCAAGATCGCTCTGCGAAATGACTTGGATCAGGTAAACGTGTCGTTCACTAGGTTGCAGTGAGACCGTGACGAGCTCCTCAAAGGCGAGGACAGAGTTGCTCTCCCCGCAGTCCCGCTGGGGCTCACTCTGTACTTGACACTGAGGTCTGGCTGCTTGTTGGGTGAAGGGGCGGCCAGTAGGTGGCAGGGGACAGCTTGTGCTAACTGGAGAGGGTGGAAGACGTGAGCCTTTGAGAACGGTTTGGGTCATTTCCAAACAGCATGTGTGACTTTTTTTTTTTTTATAACTATGAACTTCTCTGGTGTCTCTTCTCTTCGTCTGTACTTTTCCTAAGCCAAAGGCTGCCAGCATAATTACCTGGGAATATCAGTCACCAAGACTATACCAATGCCACGCTGACATTGGGAGGCACTTTACTTTTTGTTCCAAGAAGAATTCTCATCTACAATGAATGTGAGGATTTTATGTGAAGTATGTACATTAAGATACGTGCATTGGTGGGGAGACAGGTATTCTAGGGGCTAAGGGCCAAGATGCCTAGCTGTGAATCCTGGCAGCACAGTCTGCTCACCGCATGACCCTGCGCAGTTCTTAACCTGCCTATAGGTAAAATAAGGTGAAGCACGTCAACAGTGTGTGTTCAGTATGTGGTAGCTGTTGCTAGGAAGACCTTAAATTGTTCAATTTCCCTGGTTCTTTCCAGCAGTACTGACAGCTTTAGGACTTCCTGTTTTCTGTCGCTAGTGTTTTATAAAAGATAGTTGGCAATATGGAAGGAGTCTTGGGCGGATTTAAAATTATCTCTTTTCTGACTTAAAAAGTGAATATTCCCCACAAACAGTGCCAGGGTCAGAAAGATTGAGACTTACACTGTTGAATCTGTAAAAAAGAGGCATTACCTGTGTACTGACTGCTCATTGACAAAATTTCAAATACAGATCCAATAATACAAATATTATTAAATGTTTGGAGGAGTTTTTTAAATGTTGAAAAATGGTCCCTGGCACAACTCCTTTTTCCCATATAAATGGCTAATTTTGCAGCTCAAAAGTTTCAACCACAGTAAGATGGGGATTAGACGACTATTAAGGAAAAGTGCTAAAGGCGGAGAAGGGGCAGCTGAAGGAATCCACACTAAACAGAGTTCGAAAATAAAACAAACTCTGCTTCGTGGGACACAGGATGTAGAAGGTTGAAAAGCAGTCTGGTTGGGGGGCCGGGGGTGAGGGGGGTGACCCTTTTCCCCACGGAACCATTCAGCCAGGCTGTTTGGAAGTTGTTAGAGGTGGTTTGAAAAATGTGTGACTGAGAGAGTCAGAGCCAAAGAAGACAGAGGGGCATCCAGTCCGACAGGACCAAGACCAGTCTGACCTCGGCTGGTACATTTTTGTATTAATGAGACTATGCTGGTGAGTCAGTACTATAACGAAATTCCTGTTTTCATATTGGCTCTCCCAATGGCCTCACATTTGATTCCGTTCTTTTGAATCTTGTATCCATTAATAGTTTTCTGAAGATGGATAACTAAGAAAGAGTTTTAAGCAGTGGGACTCTGGGGATGTGGTGAAATTCACTAGAGAGAGTCCTACGTTGAAAGTTGTGCAGGAAATATATTTGGTGTTATCTATCAGACCTTTAAAAGGATTAAAAAGTAATGAGATGAAATGTCTACTGAGTACCTACTATGCACCAAGGACTATATTCCGCAATTTTATAAGCATTATCTCGTTTAATCTCGCTAATGACTCCATCAAGCAGGTATTATTTTAATCTTACATTTAGTAAATGAGGAAAATGAACATGTACTCTGACTTGGAAAGCTATTCTAACAGAGATCTGGACAGAAGCATGTGTACAAGATGGTTTATTACTGTGTTACTCAGAAGAATAAAAAGTAGAAATAATGTATATGTCCAATAAAAGGGGAGAATGAAAGTAAATGTCTTTTTGGAATAGTTTTTAAAAACAATGGGAAGATGATGTTATAATATTTTTGTAAAACCTATAAATTTATCTGTATATAATGCTTGCATCTAAATTGCAAGCATGGTTGGTGGAGGGTCATCATTTTAGGAAAGGAAGCTGAAATATACTTCTAAAGGAAAAAAGCCTACAAGGAAATCCATCAAAATATTAGTTCTAGATACTCTGGGTGATGATCATCAATCTAACATTTAGATTCATCTTTATGCATGTATTTTTTTCAATTATTTTATCTTTTATAAGAAGACCTTAAATTCTTAACAACCCTTGGTTTAGTAATAATATACGTTATACCTTATTAATAATCAAAAAAAATATTATTTTTTAAAAAGATGTTGCACCACCAAGAAAGTCTATTTTGTGGATCAGCCTGGATCATGCGTACTCCTAAAATAATTGATGATTGAGTATCTGGGTAGATAGCTCATATAGATTCTGGATGCTAGTCCCTGAAGAAAAGATTCCTTCATGCTTTCATTTTCTTCCCCTTCCTCTTAGTTTCCTCCCTTTATACCTCTCTTTTTAAAAGAGTAAGTAAGACCTGGCCCTTGCCTTTTGAAGCTTGTTATCTAAGTGAAAGAATAACAATTGCTATTTCATGCATATCTCCTCCAAACATCTGATTTTGCAGTTTCTGCCCAAGTGGGGCTTATCTGCCTGTCAAAAAGCTGTCTGTGCACTTTAGGTGTCCTGCACCCCAGCCAGCCTGGGAGGACACCAGATGCGCAGGGAAAGCACTGGCTCACCCCGCCTTCACCCCACTCGCCCTCTACTTTTCCATTGCCACTTTCATCAAAATCACATCTCTTCATTGAAATAGTCAAACTTCAGCCAACATTAAACAAGCAGGAAAGCAGATTGTATTCAAGACAATATGTAAAGCAAACAAGCACTAATTAGATAATTAGGTCCTCTTTAAAAATAAATTATTCCTCACCCTTGTCATTTTAGTGCTGGCTTCGGGCGTCCTGGGCACAAAAGGCTCTTAATTTTTTTCTTTGACAGAGCCGTCTGTTTTGACAACTTGCCCTCCCTTAGACTCTTGAAATGAGGACTTCTCCATGATTAACAATGTAAAAAGATATGACATCTCCATTTCAGTTTCTGTAGCGAGCTGCCTTCAAGCCCTTCCTGTCCTTTCTCGTTCGCAAGGAACAAGCAGAAGAGACACACCAGCACTTTGGCACTGCGGATGGCGCCTTGTCCTTCTGACCAGGGCAGGTTCTGTGTTAGGAGCAGGGGCTCCGCATAATGAGTGGCGAAGTGTTTTGTTTTGTTTTAGATTGAACAATGGGCTTGGGCTTGACGAGTTCTTTGAGAACTCATTTCTGAAAGATTCTCATCCCTGATGTGAGAGCTGAACCTTTTGATCAGGTTATTGGTCGATTCATGATTAAATCACAAATGGCAGTGCTTTTTCCTCTCCTATGTATGTCATATGAACCTTAGGTAGCAATTCAAAGTCTCCACATCGATAAGGCATTATAAGGGGGCGCCTGGGTGGCTCAGTTGGTTAAGCGTCTGCCTTCGACTTGGGTGGTGATCCTGGGGTCCTGGGATCGAGCCCCCACATCAGGCTCCCTGCTCGTCGGGGAGTCTGCTTCTCCTTCTGCCTGCTCTGCCTGCCGCTCTCCCTGCTTGTGCTCTCTCTCTCTCTCTCTCAAGTAAATAAAATCTTTACAAAAAAATAAGGCCTTATAAGATGTTGGTAAGTGATGGGCACCGGGGTAGCTCAGTCAATGGGGCAGCCAACTCTTGATTTTGGCTCAGGTCATGATCTCAGGGTCCTGAGATTGAGCCCCACATCAGGCTCTACACTCAGCAGGGAATCTGCTTGAGATTCCCTCTCTCTCTCTCTTCCTCTGCCCCTCCCCCTGCTCTCTCTCTCTCTGTCTCAAATAAATAAATAAATCTTAAAAAAAAAGATGTTGGTGATTAGAATTAATAATGACAGTGATCTTAACAAATTATGGTGAAGATTTTATGGTTTGAGTTCAAAGAATATCAGTATCTATCTGTGTAGTATTACATTCCTAGAGATTCATTTAACATGAAAGATGATTTCTACTTAAGTGAGGTGTAGAAATTGGCTGTCCAAAGACCCAGAAGACTGTTTTTAGGAGAACCAAGTTTTTTCAGATCTGGTCCTATCTTGATGAGCAGTAGAATCATTCTGACTTCACTGTTTAACATAGTGGAGACACTCTGGATGAAGCTTCTGGAAAATACTGACGCTCCTCCCACATGGGACCCACAGCAATTTCTGCAGATGTCAGAAACATTCCTTTAGTGTTCTAAAACTATAAAATAAAATGTCTAGATGTTATGCACAATTTAAGAAGCTTATATGTCCAGATAGCAGAAATTTACAAAAGGCTAAAAATTGGGGGTGAATCTCTTTAAGAAACCAAACTTAGAAAACATTCACTTCAGAGTGTCATGAAGAGAAAGGACTCATCTCTTCACAAAATGGAAAATGCAGGGGGTACCGAAGAGGACGTTAAATTGCACTCTTCTTTATTCGGAGGGCTGTTGCTCAAATATTCTGAGGTACAACTTGAACCAGTGGGCTGACGTTATAGGGAGCTAGATTTGGTTCAATTTTTAAGAACACTGAAATGATCTGTATAGCTATTCTTGATTCGCTGCTTGGTGACGCTCCCTCAGAGACTCTGGGGAGGTGTTCCCTGCTTTGATGGCAGTCATCTGACTGGCTCTAGAATTCGCTGTTTTGAGTGTCTATAATCTGCATCAGATGTCTTAAAATTTATGAAAACGTAACTTGCAACAGATATTTTGCCCACCTCTGATTTCAGGATGTTCTTTTGCTGTGTAGATTTCCCCCTTAAAATTTAATATATCAGAACAAATTTTAGAGTCCTTTTAAGAGGGACTGTTCACCTTAACTATACCATAGTTGCAAAGTATCTGAAACCAGAGCCATAACCATTGGACTACAGGACACAGGGAACTGTAAGAACAGAGAAACTGGAGCCCCCAGCAGATGAGCAAGTCTAATGGGCAAAACAAATAAATCACACATGTAATTTGTCACTAGAGATTGTGCTAAGTGCTATCAAGGGAAATAGGAGAGATGTAAGCAGAGGAACTAATTTAGATGGGGGTGAGGAACTGATTAAATAAGGGTGAGTGGGACAGGGTTCAGGGCTCACTTCACTACAGATGTGAACTGGAAGCTGAGACCTTCAGGGTGAGGTAAGGGCCTACGGTGTGCAGTAGGCACGCATTGACTAGTTAAATATATGCACAGTGCTTTCCCGGTTAATTGGACTCTATATCCAAGTTAAGACCAGAGTATTCTCTCTGAGTTTTTCTCAGCCATTCTAGAAACATGGTCTTTTCTGTTTGGATGCCTGGTCCATACTTCAGTTTTCCCCAAGGCTATCTTATCATGGGGTTTTGGTCTTAATTTCTCCTTGCTGTGCTCACTGTCCTGTGTGAGCCCCTTGTGAGCCATTTTACCTCTGCTGGTCTTTGATTTTCTCACCTAACTGTCCATGGATCAGCTCTCTCTGAATCTGCACCCCCAACCCCCAGGCACTAACAGCTAGAAGCTTCCATATAAGGCTCCACCCCTTCCTCCTATCCATCTACACAGTCTCAGAGTGAGTGCTGTTGTGACATCTGAACATGTGTAAGAAGCATTTAGAAAGAGCATGCACTTTGAGGCCATTCACGTCTGAACTCAGATCATGGCTCTCATTCTGCCCCAGTCAGGTTATTTGATCTCTCCAAACTTCACTGCCATTATCAGTAAAATAATTATTGTTGTGAGGATCAGAGATGATGTGTGCCGAGTGCCTGCTATATAGTTGGCATTCAAAGAAAGCAGCCATGCCCTGGGTGAGCTAGGAGGGGGAGAATGGCTTCTGGTAGTGATGAAACAATCATAACTAGAGATTAGGTTTGGAGAGAGTATACACACCTGTTCTTTCTTCACCTTCCTTATGATTGTGATGTGCTCCGACGTGCAGGCAGAAGACAAGGCAGATGTGTTGAATAAGGAGCTCCTCTTGACCAAGCAGAGGCTGGTGGAGACTGAAGAAGAGAAGAGGAAGCAAGAGGAAGAGACGGCCCAGGTAAGAGGCATCGGTGGGCTTTTGCTTTACGCAGGTGTGTCAGCATGAGGAGTGGATTAATACTCTAAGTAAGAAGTAAAATTAAACTTATTCTAAATCAAGGGCAATGTTGAAGCAGGACACGTGAGCAGCGTTGGGTCTTGGCATTTCGTTTGAAGGGCGTTAGAAGTAGAGGCAGGAACTGATTTGTCCCCTTGAACAGGTTTTAGGAATCTGCCTTGACTCAGATGGCTAGCGAGAGTGTGAAGTTTCCTCTAAGTTTAGCAACTTGGAATTACGATCCAAGAGCTTTGACAAATCTGCACAGTTTGTGTCCTGTCTCCAAGCTAACTGACTTGAACAGTAGTTTGAGAGGCTTGGGGAGCGGGAAGCCTGCAGAGATCTCTGCTGGGAGGTGCTCAGTCAGTCCCTCTCGGTTTTCCTGATTCATGCCTTAGAAGGAGTGCCAGCATTCCTGGCGGAGCTCTCAGCTCTTACTCCCTGGGGGAAGGAAAAAAGCAGCCCTTTGGGAACCAGCCTTGAAGTTAGCACCCTCCAGTCTTCATATGTGTTGGGGGGCTAATCAGCTGGAAGACGCACCACCTGGCCAAGGCCTCCCTGATAAGGGACAGGAGGGGCCTCTCTACTTAAGGAGTTGAGACTTCCAGCCTTCCTGAGGAAGAGTGGGCCGCCTCACCAATGTTCTCCATCTCTGCCAGGCATGATTCACTCATTTATTTTAATGAGTTTCATTCCAAGACATCAAAAATACTAAATATAAAACAGAACACAAACCATTTCAAAGACCTGTATCCAAGCAGAAAAAGTCCACTGAAGTTACTAATGAAGGGATGTATCATTTAGCACCTTGCAGGGTTAATAAAAAGTGTTCCATGATTTTTTTTTTAAATTGGAATATGATGAAATGACTCTTGGCATTTAATGTGGGCCAAGTTTTTTGTTTTGTTTTTTTCACCTAGTCAAATTTTTTTTAGGAGCTGATTATCCAGTTTGATCTAGGCCTTTTGTTGGGTTTTGTGGGGTTTTTTGTTTTTTTTTTTTTACCTCCTGCCTTTTGGGGGCTCAATTCAGTACTTTAGGTAAAGAATGAAGCTATTAGGGGCGCCTGGGTGGCTCAGTCGTTCGGTGTCTGCCTTCGGCTCAGGTCATGATCCCAGGGTCCTGGGATCGAGCCCCACATTGGGCTCCCTGCTTGGCAGGGAGCCTGCTTCTCCCTCTCCCACTCCCCCTGCTTGTGTTCCCTCTCTCACTGTCTCTCTCTCTCTCTCTGTCAATTAAATAAATAAATAAAATCTTAAAAAAAAAATGAAGCTATTAGCAAATTAATTTAACCCATGCTTCTTCCCTCCCTTTGTGTGTGGGTGTATATGTGTGTGCGCGCACAAACACACACACGCACGTATTTGTATATGTGCGTATATCCTGTTTTGATCATTATGGTACCTTTGTGAGATAGGGATTATTCTCTTCATTTGCCAGATAAGAAAACCATGGTTTAGAGAAATTAAGTGACACTTGCTCAAAGCCTCTCAGCTTTCTAAGTTTGTCCTGAAGTCTGTGGTGCCTTATCGTAGGAGGGGAGAAAGGTGTGATTTGCGTCGTTAAATTATGTAAGACAGAGAATAGAGACTAATATAAATAACTTTGAATCAATATGTCCTATAAATTGCTTTTAGAATTTAAGAACATAGCAAATATGAAGAAATTTGGAAAGCTTCTCACGATAAGTAGTCCAATTATAAATCGCAGCCATTTGTGAATTAGCAAATACAGCGTATACCCCATTTATAATTTGGGATGCTGCAAAGCAGAATTTAATTTATTCTGATTATGTACTTTAAGATTAACCAGAGTTGTTTTGTGTTTGTTTGTTTGGTCAACAACGTGGAAGAACTGAAATCTTTCCTCGTCTGGTGGCACCTGAGCTTTTCCTGCCCTACCTTCCTTGCTACCTAGAAGCCCGAATTGCTGGGCTACAAAAAAATGTGGTTTTCAGCTCAGCGTTCTTGGTTTAGCATTTCTGTGACTGTAACAAGTACCTGCATTATGTATCATGCTGGCTCCTTCTAAAGTCACTGCTCAGTCCCTGAATCTCCTGACTTCCAAAGCTCTTATCTATCTTCCTCCAACTTTTTCTCACTCCAGTCTCAAAAGCTTCCTGTTCCCACCTTCAGAGAGATACCAGCAGTGACCGTAGGGGGCTTTGAATGGGAAGGCCTAACATGCTTCTTCAGTCATTGATTATACAGCAGTAGGAATACACACATTGCCTGGGTGTTTTGTTTTGTTTTAGACTCTCATAAGAATAAATATAGCTTCGGGGTGCCTGGCTGGCTCAGACGGGGGAGCATGCAACTGTTGATCTCAGGGTTGTGAGTTCAAGCCCCACATTGTGTGTAGAGATTCCTTAAAAATAAAATCAAAAAAAAAAAAAAAGAAAGAAGTTGGTTTCTGAATGGACACTTATTTAACAATATATATATAAAGTAAGTGGTAAGGATAAGCACTTGTATAATGGGGTTGCTCATATGTCTTGTGCATTACAGGAGAGAAAGAAAGATGTCTGCGTCTCTGGAGATGATCAGGCTTTTGATTAGGCTTTTGACTGAGGCTTGGTGTTTCTCATTCTCTTTCTCTCTAGCTAAAAGAAGTCTTCCGGAAACAACTGGAGAAGGCAGAGTATGAGATAAAGAAGACCACAGCTATCATTGCTGAGTATAAGCAGGTATCGTGCCACTGTGGTTTGCGTTGCTATAAAAGTGATTATTTGTATTGTTTTTCTTTGGGGGAAAAAATAATTTTGTCTTTAGAGTTTCCAGAGCAATGATTGCACGCATTCATTAAATTTGGTGGCTTCCTTTCTCCTCTGAAACAAACAGTGACTAGACATGCTTGCTGATAACATGGGAGGTGTAACTGAGCAAAACGATCTGTTGGCTGTTTACAATGTTTGGTAGATTGAGAGGAACAGGAAAGTTGATCTTTATCATTGGAATCCTGTCTCTGCCCTCCTCAGAAGCACATTTCCAGTAGACCGCACTAGTAACATTTGCCTCTTTGCCAGGGACCAAACCTTAGTGATTATATCAAATGACAGTATCTGGGGAATCAGTGTGTCCTTTGCTGTCACAGTATAGAATGTGGGAGCTCTCTTTCCCACGTGGCCATGTGGCCTTACCCAACCATGGCCAAGGCTAGCAGGAAACCTTCTGTTGGGAACCTTTGATCTCTTAATGGAGGGCTTGCTCTCCTTGAGGATTGTCCTGGCCCCTTCACCAGAGTGCTCCCAGAAAGCCCTCATTCCTGCCCGAGTAGTATCGTCTTGTCTCTGCTGGGACATGGCAAGGACTCTGCGTCGCTGAGAAACCCTTGAATGGACTGCAGCAGTTCCAGCATTCCAGAATTAACCAAGGCACCATATGTCACCTGCTTATCCTAAGAACTTCCCTGGGGTCTCCTGCCTCATGTAGGAGTTTGAAATCTGATTCCTATTCTTTTTTAAAATGTGCTGCTTATAAATAAAATTTATGTTCCTCATGGAAAATTAAGAAAGTGTAGAAGAGCACAAAGAAAACACCCCCCCCCGCTTAACCTTGCCGACTAGAAATAGTCACTGTAATATACTGAATATGCATTGTTGCTATATAAATAAAAATGTCATTTATATTGTTTGTGCTAGTTTTTGCAACTGGTTCACTTCATATATTATGAACATCTTTTCAGAAGGATTTTTCTCCTTCATGGACAAATCCTTAGAAATAAGGCTTCGGAGCTGTCTTACTCTCTTTGATGATAATATGTGTTGATTCCTGCTATCTGAGAGTCTTGATTCTTTGGGGGATCAAAAGATGAATTAATTCAATTTCTCTCCTTTAGAAGCTGATCTTGTAATGGGGAGCTAATACCTGTGCACAAATAATAGGAAAGGGAGCTTATTGCCCATGGGAAGTGAAACCCTTCCTGGAGGAGGGGTGATTTGAGCTGTGCTTCAAAGGCCAGGCGAGATTTGGGTATGTGGAGGCAGCGAAGGGGGATAGAAATGGGGAACAGGGTGCCTGGGTGGCTCAGTCGGTTGGGCGTCTGCCTTCGGCTCGGGTCATGATCCCAGGGTCCTGGGATGGAGTCCCGCATTGGGTTCCTTGCTCTGCGGGGAGCCTGCTTCTCCCTCTCCTCCCCACTTGTGCTCTGTCTCACTATCTCTGTCTCTCTCTCTCAAATAAATAAATAAAATCTAAAAAGAAAAAATTAAAAAAAAAAATGGGGAACAGAGGGACAGCACATGCAAAGGCATGGAGGTAGGTTAGTGAACAGAAATAGTTTTGTTTGTCAAGAGGTTTGAGTACAAAAAAGAAGCAAAGGTGAGTTGGGTCCCAGTTCGAGGAGGGGCTTTGGGTTAGGCAGAGGAGTTTGGATTTTATTCTGTTTACAGTAGGAATGTTTGAGCAAAAAAAGTGGCATAATCAGGGACATTTTGTTGGCACTGATCTGTCCCAGTGAGAAATGTGGAACCAAATGGAGAGACCCACAGGCAAAGATACAGACCAGTAAGAGGCTAACCGTAGAGTCTAGGTGAGAAAATAGCCTTAAACTAAAATAAGTAGTAATGAAAATGGAGAAGGGGAAGACACAAAACATAGTCATTTTTTGGTGGACAAGGGAAAACACTGAAGGTGATCCCGAGATTTTCAATTTGGGTAACTAGGAGAAGGGATGGTTAAACATTAACCAATCCAAGGAACATTAAAGACCATGGGCTATGGAACTTGCCATCACTGCAAATGGGTTTTCTTTCATCACCACATTAGGCCATGGGTGGCCGCCATGTGCAGCACTCTTCAAAATAGTAATACTTGGGACTGTTCTTGAATATTATCTGGCAGGCACTACCAGTAATGTAAAAGGCAACAGACCCATCTGCCTGAAGATAATTAGGATATAAAACATAATCCACATGCATTCTGTAGTTGGAATTGGCTATGACTGGCTTTATTTTGGAATCTTTGGGGTTATTTGAAAGGGTATATGGTTTGCCAAAATTACTAGGGAGACTGCTTCTTTTTCACATCAGCAAGTATAGTCCTATTCATTATTTCCAGGCTTGGATCTGGAGAAATTGGAAACAACTCTACAAGCAGGCCCTGGTCTCTAGAGCCATTTTTTTTTTTTTAAGATTTTATTTATTTATTTGAGAGAGAGAACATGAGTAGGGAGAGGGAGAAGCAGACTCCCCACCGAGTGGGGGGGGGTGTGGGGGTGTGTAATGACTCTATCCCAGGACTGTGGGATCATGACCTGAGTGAAGGCAGACACCCCTCAAAACAGACATTATAAAAAAAAAAATCCCAGGGGTGCCTGGGTAACTCAGTTGGTTAAACATCTGCTTTCAGCTCAGATCATGATCTCCAGGTCCCTGCTCAGTGGGAGTCTTAGTGGGGAGTCTGCTTCTCCCTCTCCCTCTGCCCCTCCCCCCACTCATGCTTTTTATCTCTCTCAAATAAAAATATTTTTTTTAAAAAAAGCCTGTTTTGATAATAGAGGTAGATCTTTTACGTTTTTAGTTCAAATTGCATTTTAAAATTTGACATCCCTTAACTTTGTTTATTCCACTTTTCAAAAACAAAAGATCTGTATGTCACTCAAGGAATTTGAACATCTAGTAATTTTTTTAAGCAAATGGTTTTGTTTGGCTGGTTGGTTGGTTGGTTTTGGCTTTGAAAGCACTTATTCCTACCTGCTCCTAGTACTTGTTGTTAGCACCTTATTTCAGAATCAATAATGAAATTCTCTTTAATGAGCACTTATTATAGGCCAGGTGCCATATTGAATCCTTTGCATACATTTTTTCCCACTGATTATCACAGCACAGCACTTTGTATTTATGAGGGAACTGAAGCTTAGGAAGGTTCGTGAATTCACCCAAGGACACACTGCTGGAAAGTACTAGAGCTGGACCTCAGGCTTGTCATTTCACTCCATGTTGCCAAACCCCTTGATCAGAATTTTAGTCTTTGTTACATTCTGGTCATTTTAACTTGTTTTATCCCCTCTGCCACTTCTTTTTTTTTTTTTTTTAAGATTTTTTATTTATTTATTTGAGAGAGAGAGAATGAGAGAGAGAGTACATGAGAAGGGGGAGGGTCAGAGGGAGAAGCAGACCCCCTGCTGAGCAGGGAACCTGATGCGGGACTTGATCCCGGGACTCCAGGATCATGACCTGAGCCAAAGGCAGTCGCTTAACCAACTGAGCCACCCAGGTGCCCCAACTTCTTTTTTTTTAAAGATATTTTTTATTTATTTATTTGACAGAGAGGTAGAGAGCACAAGTAGGCAGAGCGGCAGGCAGAGAGAAAGGGAGAAGCAGACTCCCTGCTGAGCAGAGAGTCCGATGCGGGGCTTGATCCCAGGACTCTGGGATCATGACCTGAGCCAAAGGCAGCCGCTTAACCGACTGAGCCACCCAGGCGCCCCGGTGCCCCAACTTCTTAAGGAAACTTTGGTCATTGAAAACAGAGACTCTCTCTGTGGCTGTCCACAGGAGAAGTTTCTAGTCCAGAATTCTTTTCATCAGATTTCCAGAATGGTACTTTGCACAGAGTGGATACTCAGCAAAAATTCTACAGATTGATTCCAAAAACAGGACAGGAATTCACTGGAAATAGTCACAAAGTCTAGTGACAGAAATCAAATTACCCCAAGTGTTTTTCTACTAATTAAGATCAAAATATACTTTATGCATGGAACACTCTCAGGCTCTCTGCTGGGCATGGGTGGCATTTGCAGGGCTCTCTGCTGGGCATGGGTGGCATTTGCAGGGCTGTTCTTTTGCAAAATTTTCTCTAGCACCAGAGAAGCCAGAGCACTGTATGAGTTGATACACGGGGATGTGCACATCAGAGTTGTTCTGTGTCCTAATAAAGAAACTCTTTTCTTTTCTTCAGATCTGTTCCCAGTTAAGTACCAGACTGGAGACACAGCAAGCGGCCAGCAAGGAGGAGCTAGAAGTGGTAAAGGTGAGGGAGAGAGAAATAGCTCTGTGGTTTGGCTTCTTCCAGAGTCACAGTCCTACGTCACTACCTGATAGGACGATCCCAGTGCGTGAGGACGCCCCCCAGGCAGGACAGTTCATGACGTCACGCCCGCCCTGCCCCTCTCGGTGCGCGAAAGGATTTAGGAACTTTGGAGAACAGAATCTGTCTCCGACCCGGGTGTGATCCTCTTCACTGCCCGCGGAACGGTTGTGTTCCCATCAGTCTCAGGGGTTGTCGGAGGCAGGTAGTAGGACTTCAGCCTTGTCACAAGAGGTCCCTGAGCCTTCTTGGACGGTGGACGCCCGGGAGCCCCCAGCATCCCAACTGTGCCTGAATGGATGTGGCTTCGGGGTGCGACCCCGGAGGATCATCCCGTTGCTCTCTACCCGTTGTGTAGAGAGCATTTATTTATATGCTGCCCCCTGGTGGTGAGACTCGGTTGTTGCTTATGTGAGAAAAGCGATTGCTTGTTCCATAGCAACAGCCGCAAAGCAAATGAATTGGTGTCTTACGCAGCGTGGGCACAGCCGGCTCTCGTGACCTGCGTGACGGAAACCCGACGGAGTTCTCTTTGAATATATTCAGGTTGGATGCTAGTGCATAAATGCGTTCTAGGCACGTTAGCATATCCCCGAACAACTTGGACCAGTTATTTACCTCTCTAAGCTGTATTTTGTATCCTGTGAGATAGAGACATTACCTGCCTCGGCGGGTTATTTTTAAGATTAAATAAGATCACATATATAAAGTGCTTAGCTTAGTGGTTGGCACACAATAAACACATATTTTTGTAAGTTTATAACCTGAAAATCTGAGACATGAGAACTGAAAATATGAACCTTGTTCTGACTTTGTATCCCAAGTAGTTTTTTCTTATTTCCTGTTCTAAAACAGTCTGAGGTTGTTAGTGACTATGATGTTGGTCATCTCCCTGCCCAAACCTGCTTAAATTTTGGGTTCATGTCTTTCCTCTCTGGGCTGCCTTTACCTTCTTCCTCCTTAGCCTTTATCATCCTTTTATTTACACTAACACTCAGTTGATGAGGTGCCTTGGCATAAAAGCGTTAACTATCCTGAACTAAAATCTTCGTAGAAATATAAATGAAGTGAATTTATATGGATCACTCAAGGTTTTATTGAGCATCTAACTATGTGCACAGCTGTTAGACTAATGTTTTACAGAAATTATACATAACAAAAAGTTTAGAATTTTCCTGGGAGCAAGTTATACATAAGCATGTGAAATATTTAGGGAATAGTTCAAAAGCATGTAAGTCAGCACTGAGTTGGATGACACTGACAAGCAGGGTTATACAGAAAGCAAAATTGTAAGAACTACAGACCAAAGATGAATTTGTGGAGGAGGCTGGACTGAAGCAGGATGGGTAGATTTCTGTTAGAAGGATTTAAAAAGGACATTCTGGAAGAAACTGTGAGTGAAGACCCAGAAATCAGAATGAGTCTCATTAAGGAGACTGATGTGCTTCGAGTGTGTATTAAGGAATCGAGGGAAATACTGGATAAAGAGGTAGGCTTGGCTAATGAAAGCCCATGACATTCAGGCAGAAGAACTTGAACTTGTTTTAGCTGAGTAAAGAACAACAACTAACACCTACTAAACACTTTCTGTGTGTACTTTTCCAAGGATTATCCCATTTAACCTTCACAACATCCTGAGAAGGTAGACCCTATTATATCTTCTTCTTTTTTAAAAAAGATTTTATTTATTAGAGAGAGGGAGAGAGAGCACAAGCAGGGGGAGCTGCAGAGGGAGAGGGAGAAGCAGTCTCTCCGCTGAGCAGGGAGCCCGATGCGGGACTCGATCCCGGGACCCTAGGATCATGACCCGAGCCGAAGGCAGACGTTTAACCGACTGACCCACCCAGGCGCCCCTATTATATCTTCTTTTTAATGATTTATTAGATCTTGGTTTATTTATTTATTTATTTGGACAATGATCACCAAATCAGGTCATTCATGATCTCAAGGTCACAGTAAGTAGTAAGGCCAGGATTTGAACCCAGGGAGTGAGACTCTACTCTCCGTAGCCTTGGTTACTACACTGACCTACAGCCGCTTGCCCCAGCGCTACTTCCTTTTCATCTCTTGTTCGGCGCAGTGCTGTGGCTTTTGATGTCTCCGTCCTCCCATCACACCATTCCCCCTTCAGGTAATCCTCTACACTAGAATTAGAATGAGCATTCCCCAAGATAAATGCGACTCTCTCACCCTGTGCATCAGTTTAGAATTAGATTGGCCACAGAGAGGAAACCCAAAATAACAATGGCTTAAACACAAAAGATGTTGATTATCTCATGTAAAAAAAAAAAAAAAAAAAAAAAAAGTCTTGGGCTAGAAAGATCCTTGGTTTTATCAGCAATCCACGCTCGTCAGTTATCGGTGACCCACACCCTCAGCATGGGCTTCCATCCTCAGGGTGACTTGAAATCAACTGGAGTGGCCCCCATCACACCCACCTTCCAGGGTAGAATTTTAGGCCAGAAGGAGATGCAAGGGTACAAAGGCCCACCTCCAACTGGGTGAGCTCTAAGTGGCCTTCCTTAAAGCTCCATACCACACTTTGTTGACCTATCAGAACTGAATTTCATGGCCACACTTAGCTTCAGGGGAGTCTGGGAATGGCATCTTTTAACTGGGCAAACTGCCAGTCCAAATAAAATCCGAGTTCTGTTAGTAAGGAAGACGGGGAGATGGATGCTCAGTGGGACTCTGCAGCCTCCAGCACACGTCGGTTCTTCAGCTCGCCTGCGGACTGCAGCCTCATGAGACTCGCTGCTGTCTCTCCAACGTGTAGCACAAGATGCAGTGCAGGCATTTTCTATAGGATGAAATCGGGATTCGATAGCATTACAGTTGAGAACCTTTACCACGGGGCCATGGAGAACGCTTGTCACTTCCTTCCTCTCACTGCTGAGCCATCTCCTCCCGCTGGGCCCTGCTCCGACTCCCTTCAGTTCTCTGAAGGGCCAGCTTCCTTGCACACAGTGCTCTCCCTGCTGAAATGTCCTCCTCCCTCAGGGAGTCTGTTCCTTCATATGGTTCAGCCTAATAGAACTGCTTACCCAGCTTGGTAAACTTCTAATCATTTAAGACCCAGATCAAAAGCCAGTACTTTAACACCTTATTTAGTCAACAATGACTATATATAACAACTACTTGCTGTGTGCTTATTTAGTGCCAGTAGTGGGTTGATTATTCTTACAGGTTCTGAAGAGAGTTACCAGATATCTTTCAAGTGTCTAATGAATATTAATCAGGTAGGAATCTGAAGAGTGCCTTAAAAATGGGATAAGAAAGCAATCAGGGTATGTGTTGTAATGAGCACTGGGTATTATATAAGACTGATGAATCACAGACCAGTACCCCTGAAACAAATAATACATTATATGTTAATTAAAAAAAAAAAAAGCAATCAGTGGGGGCTGAGAAGGTGATTTCTAGGGATTCAGGCCTGGGATGAGAAGAGCTTGGACATGTCAGAGAAATAATTTAGTGACCAGCTGAATATGGAATGAAGGAGAAGGGAAAGAAAAGATGACCCCAGTGTTCAGGCCTAAATGATGGAAACAGGCATAATGACACAGAAATGTGAGGAGAGGTGTGTGTGTGTGTATGTGTGTGTGTGTGTGTGTGTGTGTGAAGAAAGGAGTGTAGTTTTGGTTATGGACATATTATAATATGTAGTAGTATATTAAAATAGAAATATTCTGTAATATCTTTTAGCTCTAAACTATTTTTGGAAGTATTTTAAGAAAACGATAGCACCAGCGTAGTTGAAGAGTTGCTTTTGGTCAGTGCTCTGCACCTGATTGGCAGGCCAGGCACGAGGCAGAGTTACTTTCATTACCTTGAACAGTAATGATCCTCTTTGCTTTAAAGCTGAACCAAAGGACATGACATAAACTTTGTTGCAAGCATAGATTTAGGCCCATCACAATGACCTTTCTCAGTCTACTATGGGCCAGCTACTTAGACTCTTGAGTTTCTTCACTTACAGTGGGGGGTGATAAGAGTATGTGGTCTTACAGTAACTCTAGGATTCAGGAGACACTGCGTGGAGAGCCTATGGCATGGGGCTCTAGAAAGACTAATGGCAGCACAGAATTTCTAGAACAGGTTTCACAGAGATGCTCTCATAGTTTCCATTTCCAGGGTCTCTCTAGACATACTTTAAGAAACAAGGAGCACCTAACTTGCACAGTTGGGTTTTTGTTGTTTTTTTTTTAAAGATTTTATTTATTTGACAGAGAGAGACACAGAGAGAGAGGGAACACAAGCAGGGGGAGTGGGAGAGGGAGAAGCAGGCTTCCCACCGAGCAGGGAGCCTGATGCGGGGCTCAATCCCAGGACCCTGGGATCACGACCTGAGCCGAAGGTAGACACTTAACAACTGAGCCACCCAGGCACCCCCACAGTTGGGTTTTGTGCTAAAACCATTTTGGTTGCAGCACAAGAAAAATAATTACCTTCAGAAGTAGGCCTGCCTTTGAGGACCACAAGCAGCATCTACATGAACATCTCCTCTTGTTTCAGGAAGTGATTTCTGCCGTGAAGTCGTTTGATGTGGGTTCTCTCTTTGGCTATTTCAGGGTAAAATGATGGCCTGTAAACACTGCAGCGACATTTTCAGCAAAGAGGGCGCTCTGAAGCCCGCGGCCGTCAGCAGGGAGGAGCAGGGCGTAGACCTGGCTGATGAGAAGGACGCCCTGAAGAAGCAGCTGAGGGAGATGGAGCTGGAGTTGGCACAGACCAAGCTGCAGCTGGTGGAGGCCAAGTGCAAAATCCAGGTCGGTGACCAGAGAAGACACACAGTCTGTGCCCTAGGACACATTCTCGTCCTTTGGGCCCACCCATCCAGCTCAGCATCCGAAGATGTTTCCACATATGATGAACACATTTTTGGCACACTAATGTGTCCTCCATAGTCACATTTTACATCATTATTTTTAAAGTGACATAAACACATAGTTTTAAATGAAAATGTAGTGATTAAAATAATATCCTAGAACAGGTTTAAGCATATGCTTTTTTAGCTTACCCTGAGATTTCTGTTGCCAAGGCCCCTCTTTCTCATCGAACTTCAGTCACTGCGGTAGCTGATCCTGAAAATTAAAGGCCAGACCTTCTCTGTTGTCCTCCCCCTGACAAGTGAACATTAACTGACACTCATTCTTTGCTTTGGAGCTTTTTCTCCTTCATCTTTACCTGACTTTACCAAATCCCTTTCCCCAAAATCTATGTCCATATCGGAAGATAACATAATTAGAAAAATAGTCCTGGCTTCTGATGGACTGTTCCCATTTCCTTTTTCCCAAGGTCCTTACCCACCGCCATAGCCTGCCATGGCTCTAACCTGAGCCGCACTAGCGACCCTTAACCATTTCTGTGCTGGACCCAGGATGTTCTCAGGGGCAAAGGCCATGTGTTTGGAACTAGAATTCATTCATGCTTACATCATCAGTAGAAGTTCATCCATATGTCTGTTTGTTGTTTCAAATGTGTTGTAACCTAAACCTAAATTTGGACCAAAAACGCAGGGGGAAGAAAAGATAAAATGAGGTTTCATTTCACTGTTCAGAGGAAGCAAGATTCTGACTTTCAGTGGTAACTCTTAGCTCTAAACTGTTTTCTTGCATTAAGAAGCCAATTAAATCTCTTGTGGGTTTTGTGGGGGGACAGCTGCAGCTATACAGGCCGGGGGATTCCACGAAGATATACTTTGGTTTTTTGGGCAGAGAGAAAACACTTGTATAACTCAGATGATTTTCTTTTCTTAATTAGGAACTTGAACATCAGAGAGGAGCCCTTATGAATGAAATCCAAGCTGCAAAAAACTCTTGGTTTAGCAAAACCCTGAACTCTATCAAAACGGCCACGGGCACCCAGCCGCTGCAGCCACCGCTGGTCACCCAGCCCCCCAAGGAGAGCACATAGTTCCAGCCTCCCCACAAGCACAAGAGCACAACGATCAAAGGGACAGAAACCCAGGAGGAATCTCCCCGTATCCCTTTGCAGGAAAGTACAGGAGGCCAGAAAGCAAGCCAGGATCTCTCAGTAGCTCTCACTCTTTCTCATTTGACACTTTGCAAAGGGATGTTTAAACTAACCTGAGTTATGTTGAGTACCTGCTTTCGAGCTTCTTCATGGAAGGCCATGTTCAGTTCCATCATAGTATTACCCATTATTTTATATGCCTGATGTTTAGTTGGAAATAAGTAATTCAGAACTAAATACTTTTTATTTAGAACTAATTATTCATAATTACACTTATTTTACATAAAAATGGAGATGTCTTTTATTCCAAGGTTGAAGTGATAGAATGATATTTGTCACAGAAAAAAAAAAAAGAAAAAGCAAAAAGATTGAAATCTAAACCTCTTATCTTTTCAGAATTTATTCAGATAAAGCACACTGTGGGACCATTTATGACGACTGTCAGGTTTCTTCCTGAAAGTGACTCCCTGGAAAACGATAATCCTGTCTAAAGAATAAACCTGGGATTGAACAGTCCCCCCAAAAAGAATGAGTTTATTTTCATTTTCTGTTGGGTATATCTGGAAATGAAGTGCCGAGAACCATGGAATAAGATAGACTATTGAGAAAACACCCTAGATGAAAGGAACGGAGATTTTGATAAATGCAGGATAAGATAAATCATTTGGCCCTAGTATTCTAACAGGTCCTTTTGAGAAACTCTACACGGGAATTGCCGATTCTTAAGTCTGAACACAGTTGTGACTTCCAGCAAACGTGAAGTCAGAGGTGGCTATTGTGAGTTGCAGCATTAGGGAACCTTTACCAGAGAAGCCTAGAAAGGCCCAGGGTCAGCCATTGTGCTTCAAATGAAATAGAGAACCAGGGACAGAGTATTTCATTTAATGTTGACATATATTTGCTAAGTAAACACTAATATACTTTACTTTTTAAAGTTACGAAATGGGAAATAAAGGTCAGCTTCACATCATCTTAGTTTACTGTTAGACAACTTTTACTGACTTCTGTATCTCCCTAAAATGCCCTTGGTACCCCAGATGAAGAGATGCAAATGCATTGGTAACATTTTTGATTGAATATAAAATCTTTATAGATATACTTATCTCATGGAGAAGTAAAGCTGTTGTTTAAAAGTTGGTGGAAATTGTTTTTTTCAATTATATTTAACCTGTCTATATATATAGTCCTTGCAGGAAATCTTTTGGTAACAGCAAAACTAATTTTCCCATTTTCTCAGCTAGTTTGGAGGCTTTGGTCCTTTTATGCCAACCAAACTACTGTCCGCTATGTACAATAACATTTATTGATACTCATCCTACGTACGCTTCATTGTTGAACATATTCTTTGCAAAGGATCTTAAACTCTGTAGCCAGAATGATTCTCATCTGTGCCATATGTTGCAATTAAAAGTAACACATTCTTGGAAGCCTGGGTGGCTCAGTCATTAAGCGAAAGCGTCTGCCTTCGGCTCAGGTCATGATCCCAGGGTCCTGGGATTGAGCCCCACATCGGGCTTCCTGCTCTGCGGGAAGCCTGCTTCTCCCTCTCCCACTCCCCCCGCTTGTGTTCCCTCTCTCGCTGTCTCTCTCTGTCAAATAAATAAAATCTTAAAAAAAAAAAAAGTAAAAATTAAATAAGAGCCATTTCAACTCCAGGAGCATGCACTATAAGTTGCTCATAATAGATCCTTTCCTCCAAAATGATTAAACTCTAAAAAGTTAAGTCCCCTTCATTGGTGTTTATTATATCATCTACAACGCGTAAAACTGATATGGATGTTATCCTTTGTTACACTCATCAAATACTTTTCTTACAGAATTGTGTTTTGTCCTGTCATCTTTCATTATAATCATGTCCTTGTAATCAAGCATTCTGAGTGTCCATGTTGACTCTGATATTCCCTACTTGGTGATTTAGAAAAGGTAATCTGCTTTTTTGTTGTTGTAAAATATAATGGCTAGAAAACTGCATCTTGGTACTTGTTTCTGTAAATTATTTAGTATAATTTTTTAGCTTTGCTGGTACTTTATGCTTTGATTCCAAGAAGCCTTGTACAAGTTGCCTTATCAAATGGCCAGCTAAATCAAAGATGTTCTTTTGTGTTTTGTGAATCATATAGTTTTACTGTACAGAGCTCTTTTTAACTTCCAAAAATCAGCACATTCCACAGAATGCCTAAGTTGCGTATTTTCCTTACGTGGTAGTTGATGGAGAAATAGAATGGCTGTAGATACAGTCCTCACCTGTACACCAGGCTCAGTTCCAGAGCCCCTTACATTTTTTTTCTCTTTAAACAAAATCACCAGGTACATACATTCCAAATGTGTAATCTGTCTTTTTGCATTTTCTCTTAACTCTGTCAAAAGATTTTAATGGCAATCTATAGATTTTTTTTTTCTTCTCCAGTTCCATATCATACTTAGGTATGTGTATTGGTACCATAAGTCTAAACTGTTCCTCACTGCAATGCCTTTGGGTCAGTAGCAATACTAGATAGAAAGAAAATTCAAAATTTGGTATATGATATGATTATTCATTCAACATGTTATAATAGCACCACCCCAGTCCTTCCCCGTGTATTGTTTGAAAACTCATGCATCCCTGTATTAAGTAACTGTTAGTTTTAATTTCACTTATTTTGAAATATATTTGAAAATTGCTACTCTTTTCTTGAATTTCTTTTAGAAAGACATCAACCAGCCCAGATAGCTAGGAAATTTCCAAATATTCTAGAGTGTTTTCCATCTTTTCCTGGTATATGTTGTATGAAACATTCCTCCAGAAATCCAACACTTGCAGTATTCTGAAGAGTGATGATTTATCTTTTCATTTAATTCTGCAGAATAAATGAAAGGAATGAATTTCAATTTGATAGTTCAGTTCATTAGCTTTTATATCTTGAGACTCTTGTTTAACACATTCTTTGAAGCTGAAAAAAAACTCAGCTGAATTTTGCAGTGCATATGTTTGCTAGCTTCACACCCTGAGCCATGACACAATTTGGTTATATTTAGTTACATATAATTTAATGCAAAGAAATTCTCAGCTACCTAATGTTCTGTGTGTGAGTGCCTATCAGAAACACTAATAGGAATGTCATATAGGCCTCTGGCCTCTTTCCATACAACCACTCTCTCTCTTGCCCTCTCCCAGCTATTCAGTTTGTAATTTCTTCATTGGCTTTCTTAAATTTCCAAAGTAAAGTGCAAAAGCAATCTTTGTACTGATGTTGGGATAGTTAATAATAATACTTACCTTTTTTTCCAAAATTTTCATTCTATACTGTATATTAATATTTTTCTCAAGCCCCTACTCCATTTTCTTAAAATATTTTCCAGTTAATAACTAGTGGCTTTATTTCCCAGTGAAAGTGAGAAAAACAAGAGAATGCATAGTTCAGGGCATGAGATGAGAGATCCTGAAAGGAGCTGATCAGTTACTGAGGATGGGGCCTACACGTGTAACTAATGTAAGGGATTGAGTTTTCTTTAGCTGCAGTCAGCCCACTAATGATTCTGCTAAGGTGGTTGTCTGATTTCAGGATCCCTTGCAGGGAAAAGGGAGCGTTTAAAAAATTAGATACCTTGTTTTCTCTCTCTGGGAAAGAACACTTGTAATTACTTAGCAAGAGGATTCTGTTGTAGAACTTACTCTTTTAAAAAATCCAAACTCTTAAATAGCTGATTTTCTTGCTTCAATTACAAGTAAATGAGAGAACGGACAACCGCTGTTGTTTGATTTGAACACTGTTTGACTTGTGTGTGTGCGTGACTGGTAGAATTTTACATAGAGGATCCCTGCCTCCTTGTACGGCCCCTGAATACACACGTGGCCAGTCTTTCCCTCTGGTTGACCTGCTGGTGCCACCCTGAACTAGAACTGCTCTAGAACAGCCTTCCTCTCTTACAGTGACTTCCATGTAACACACACAAAGCCCTTCATTTTAGGAATTTCCTTCTCTCTCAAAAGTTACCACAATGAATGCTTCCACGTGGGCTGCATCTCAACAGATGACGATTGTGAGTTGTAACGAGAAAAGCGGATGTTGACAAGTGGCCGAGTGACTCCAGTCAGCTGTCAGGTGTCCCTTTCCCAGCTTCCATCTAAAAGACTACATGTCAAGCATATCTCCAAAGGAATTCATTACCTGTTATAAAAACATCTTCATCAATATGTCCCATTCTCCCCACCTCCATCCTTGGTTTATCATTAGTAGTGTTCGGAAAACTTTAAGAAAAAAGACTCATTGAGTAGAAAATAAACATTTTAAGTTACTTTCCTTTTTCATTGGCAATAAGTTACCATGTAAAATATTTTCTGTTAAAATGTAACTTTTAATAACTATATTATATATGGAATAAAATATAGGCAACTTAATTATAAATATATAAATGCATCAAGACTCTGGTGTCATGAAAGCACAAGAATAAAGCTGGAGATGGTCCCAGAATCCAAGATGACCCAATAGCCTTTTGCACCATATTCTCCATTTTTGGTATTTTGCATAATGTATGGATCCTCAGTTCAAATGAAGGAAGAAGTTTCTCAATCAGCATCACTTCCCTTCTTTCAACTCCTACCTTTCCCTTGCTGAGGAGGTAGTAGAAATTCTGTACCATTTATTTTTGTGACTTCTATGATTTTGTCCATGACTTCTCTAATGAATACAGGTTCTAGAATAAAGGAGTTGATTGGCCCAGTGCTGACTGACTACAAAAGAAACATGAGTGAGCAGCCTCTGTAAACACTGACCAAGTAGCTGTTTCCATAATTCCATGTATTATGTATAGTACAGGCTATCAGTGTAAATGTAATGCTTGTTAAGAAAAGTGCAATTTATTGTACATTGTCCCAGCAAATGTTTACTTTTATAACAGTTATGAACTTGGATTAGTATCTTGTTTTCATGTGTGAATGAAGCCTTGTGAAATAAATTCAACCAAGAAGGTAACAAGGTGACTGTTTTTGTGAGTCAGTGATGTTTTCAATGCTTTGTGTTGCCACTTTGGCCCCATTAAGCAGTAATAAACATTTGTTCTGAAGTCCATACACGTCTTTTTTATTTGTTTCTAGTTAACTTTATTCTGAATCATCTGAACCCAATGTTTATGTAACACTTTTTTTTAAAGATTTTATTTATTTGACAGCACACAAGCAGGGGGAGCGGCAGAGGGACAGGGAGAAGGAGAAGCAGGCTTCCCACTGAGCAGGGAGCCCCATGTGGGGCTCGATTCAAGGACCCTGGGATCACGACCTGAGCCGAAGGCAGACGCTCAACTGACTGAGCCATCCAGGCGCCCCTTATGTAACACTTCTTAACGGACCCTAGACTCCAGTCCATTTAGAAAGAAAGAATATGCCAGGGGTTTGCTG